AAGACCCTGGGGCATTTTGTGCTGGCAACCAACTGTGTACACACTGAACCTGTGCATGTTTGTGCTCCATGTAGAAAATACATGCACAAGAGTGACTGTGGGCACTCGTGCACATTAGTGCTGTAAAACCAAAGGAGAGTTGAAGAAAGAGATATCCAAACATACGTTGCTGGCCTTTCTTTCACAGGCCTCAGGTGGCTTGATTGAATTTGCCACTTCATGTACTGTACATCCAGCAACTTTGCTGGACTGCTTACAAGGCTAACAACTTTTTGACGCAATAAACTGGCATGTTTGGCATTGTATTGTGACTAGGGTGGGGCAGAATAGAGAAGTCATGAGTGAGCATGTGCTGAATATGCACAGTCAAGTCCTATTTACATAGACTCTGATAAGACAAGATAAGACAAGATTCCAGTAAAACAGACATGTTTTCTTAGTCTTTATAGCAAATTGAGCACCAAATCAATACATTGTTTACTGACTTTGAAGGATCCCATATTAATGAAGAGTGTATCATCTTCCAAAGATATTAGAATATTAACTATTCCATGTCTTTCTGCTATGAATATTTCCAGGAGTATTTGCCAAGCGATCCATCCCCAAGCGCACCCAGTTTGGTCCATTGGAAGGCAAGGTCGTCAGGCCAGAGTCGCTCCACAAAGGGGCTTTTAAATGGCTGGTAAGATACAGTTTTCTTGCTTTCAAAATTACATAATTAGGAAAGTAATTTATTGTTTACGTATAGCGCATTAGATTGACTTGTGCAAAAAGCGCAGTGTTGACAGCTCTTGGCATTTGGGGCGCAACTCTTAACCTGTAGTGCAGAGATTGCCTTGGCGTGCTGTCCTTCCTCAAATCATTTTATTTATACTTTTCCTGATAAGGTCAAGCGTGATGGAAAGGACATTCACCTAGACTGCAGCGATGAGCAGGAGAGCAACTGGATGGGCTTCATCCGGCCAGCCAAGCGCTACAGCGAGCAGAACCTCATCGCTTTTCAGATGGAGAATGCCATCTACTTCGCCACCATCAAGATGGTGGAGGCCAAGACCGAGCTGAAGGTGTGGTACGCCAAGTCCTATGCTGAACTGATTGGGGAGAAAGTGCTGGAGATCACACCTGAGGAGGCAGCAGGTAAGGGTTCCCTCATCCATGCGCAAATCCCAGATCCTTCAAAGTCTGTGGAGGGGATTTGGATGGTTTGGTAAGACCAAGGAAAGTACAGTCTAGCTGCTGTCACTTCATATGGGACTTGATGTGTTGTTAATTCAGGTATGGGTGCGCTTTGGTTTACTGTGATGGAAAATTTAAGAGGATTCAGGAAAGGATGCATTTTTGTAGTACGGGTAACATGTGTCACAGACATTCTGTATTATGACAACATTTTAAGCCCTGAGGCAAAAAAATGCTGTTCTTTACCCAAGGATTTGTTTCACTTTGTAATCATTTTGTATATCCATTGCATTTTTCTCAACAGAACTCCAGGACAAGGAGAACTCCTGGCCCTGCTTTGAATGCAGCCGTAAATTCCGCACATCAGAACTACTCCAGAAACATCTGACCACCCACGATGCTGTGCACGCTCGCCCATCCCGTGGCCGGGCGAGAGGTCGCAGGGGTCGCCCTCGAAAGTACCCCGAGGGGTACCAGCGGAAGCAGATGATGGCCCAAGCCAAGCTGCGGCAGTCCCGCCGGATCCAGCGGAAGAAGCCCGAGCTCTACCACTGCAACATGTGCCCCAAGGCCTTCCCCCGGCTATACAGCCTCCAGCGCCACATGGTCATGCACTCAGGCGAGAAGAACTTCACCTGTAACATCTGCAACAAGACATTTGCCCACATTTACAACCGCACTCGGCACCTAAGGCGCCATGAGGAGAAGGGGGAATACCCTGGCATGCCGCTTAGCAAGCAGTCGGTGCAGTCCAGCTGGGGCTGTGACAACTGCGACTTGGAGTTTGAAAGTGAGGAGCTCTTGAACCTTCACGAGCTGACACACTCTCCATCACTGACTGATCCCGAATGGGAAGAGGGAGAAGAAGGACCCATGGCCGTGGCAGCACGTCTGCTTGTGGACGCCTCATCAATAGTTGGAAGCAATCCATCAGGAGAGGGCACATCTTCTCAATCTTTCGATCCCCAGGGCCAATCAGCCATATCTGTTCAAATTCAGATGTCCGGGCAGCCTGCAGTCAATCAGCATTCCCAAGCAACAAGCGGATTTACCCCTGGAGTTCCTTCCTCTGTCCAGGCATCCAACCAGCCAAAAACATCAGCTCAACAGACCTACCAGCTCCCAACATCGGCTCCACAGACGACTGGGTCGGTATCCTACCCCCAAGTCCCCAATCAGCCAATTATGCAGGGACTTTCCACACAGGTTTCTGCACCACCCCAGTATCCATCCCACAGTCAGGTGCCTGTCCTGGCACAGCCACCTGCGCAGCCTCAGCCCCAAGCTCAGCCTCAGACCCAGCTCCCAGCCCAGCCCCAGGGACCTAGTGGTCTTTCAGGGCCGCAAGTGATTTTCCAAGGCAGCGCCCCTGCAGGATCCGGCCAGGCAGCCCAGAGTCAGGAAGGGTCTCAGGTCCCCGAGAGTCCTCTTAGCTGCCCTGAGTGCAATGAGGTCTTCCCTAGTCGGAAATTCCTGGCTCTCCATGCATCTGCTCATGGAAAGAATCGCCCTGCTTCTGAAAAGCCTATGCAGATTCACAGGTGCGGGCAGTGTAGCAAGGTTTTCAAGGACAAGAGTCGGTATGAGAAACACCTCAATGTCCACTCCAGTGATGCTGTCAAGCCGCTGCAGTGCAGTGTCTGCTCCAAGCGCTTTATGAGCAACTCGGCCATTGCCTGCCACATGAAGGTCCACACAGTGCAGAAATACTACAAGTGTCCCTTCTGCGAAGAGGGCTTTGACCGAATGGAGCAGCTGCGTAGCCACGTGCCCTACCACACCATCAACGGGCTTTACACCTGCCCCCACTGCAACAAGCAGTTCAAAGATTACCCGCAGATCCGGAAGCACATCCGGGGCTTCCACTCCCAGAAGGAGTTCCCCTGCCCCCACTGTGATCGGATCTTTCCCCGGCCAGACAAGCTGAAGCTGCACATGTTGCGCCACTCGGACCACAAAGACTTCCTGTGTGCCAATTGTGGCAAGCAGTTCAAGCGCAAGGATAAGCTGAAGGAGCACATGCACCGGATGCACAACCCCAAGCGGGAGGCAGCCAACCTAGCTCTGGCCAAGCAGCCTAAGAAAGCACCCTTCAAGCCCAAGTTTGCCCCGACAGACATGAACGCTTTCACATTCAAGTGTCGCCTGTGCGCCATCGGGTTCAAGAGGCGTGGAATGCTGGTCAATCACTTGGCCAAGCAGCATCCAGAGACCCCACCAGAGTCTGTGCCCGAGCTTAACCTGCCCATTGTCAAACCCAATCGCAACTACTTCTGCGCCTACTGTGAGAAGGTCTACAAGAGCAGTAGTAAACGGAAGATCCACATTTTGAAGAATCACCCAGGGTCGACTGTACCACCAAGTCTCCGGAAAACCAAGGGTGATCCCAACAGCCCCCTTGGTGACCCCCACACTGCACCTGCTGGTACTACAACTACCCACTACTTTGCTTGTGCCCACTGTCCACGGCAGTACAGCACTAAGGCCAAGATGATGGATCATGTGCGCAAGAAGCATATGGATCCAGTGCAGCAGTCCTCAACATCTACCACCCCGGCGACTGTGACCGTCCTTCAGCAGCCTGACAGTCAGTTGTATCAAGATGGTCAGCAGGTCACCCAGATAGCTGTGGTGGCTCACGTGCAGGACGGCATGCCTGATACAGTCTACATCCAGGAGGCTTCAGACTATCAACAGGTCAGCGAAGTCCAGACCATCACACCAGTGGCACTCACCAACAACATTTCAGGACAGACCCACCAGCCCATCTTGACATCCTCGCTGCACGGCCAAGCTGCCCAGGTCATTGCAACAATTGCTGCTGCAGCCCAAGAGGCGGCCCAGCAGCAACAGCAGCAGACCAACCAGGAAACGCAGATCATCCGCCAGCCAGAGCTGATCCGGTACATTGATGCCAGCAGTGCTACCCCTGTCCAGACAGAGTCGGTCCAAGCAGCAGACCTCCTGACCCAAGCCATGTCCGAGCTCTCCCAGTCCATCGAGTTCCGTCAGCAGCCGGTGAGTGACTACCAACACCTGACCCAGCGCATCATTCAGCACGTGCAGCCTGGTGGGATCCAGCTCCAGCCACAGACGATCCAGGTCTCTCAGATCCCGGTCTCCCAGATTCCTGTGTCTCAGGTCACTGCCACCCAGATCCCTGTCTCACACATCGCAGTGACCCAGGCAAGCATCGCTGTGACACAGATCCCCATCACTTACGTCACACAGAGCACGACATCCAGTGGCAGCATCACAGCGACTCCGCCTGTGGTGGACGTCAGCCAGCTCCGCCAATCTGACTCTCCATATCAGCCTCAGCTTCTAAACTTGCAGAACAGCACACAGCCAATGAGCTCTCCAACAACAATTCAGCACCAGCAGCAAGATCAACAGCAGCAACAACAGCCACAGCAACAGCAGCAACAACAGCCACAACAACAGCAACAACAACAGCAACAACAGCAGCAGCAGACAGTTTTCATTCAGCGTTCATGGGCAAATTATACACCGCAGTATCGTTAATGGTGCATGTACTCTAGAAATAGAACAGTTTGAAATATGTAGCAGCAACAAGATGTATGGCTGTAGTAACATCGAGGGAGATCTTCGCCTTTGAGATGAGAAATTTAAGCCCTTAATAATGTTTCAATTTCCTTTAGAAGTCATGATTACCCATGAGTGCTGTGGAACAAGGACAAATCTATCTCTGGCGTGGACTGACTTTTAGGGCCGAATGTTCATAGCATTGTATAATAGAGTTTGGAAGCTTAAAGGGTATTCCACTTTGATTTTCGTTGTAAACTCATTTGATCCCCTCTTTTGAATTATATCTGATTTTTAAATCTGTACAAGTGATGTATTTTAAAAGTGTTTTTTTTTTGCTTTTTGGATATAAACATAATGTGCACAGTGTAGAAATTGGACCCATCAAAGTCCTACCAAAACAGTAATGTTTAATTATACTTTATATCCAGATTGTAAATTCCTGGCTGGGGATTCCTCACCTGGAATGATACATACATGTACAGGTGTATTTAAACAGTTGTAAATTTTGGCATAATGTACAAATACTAGTATTTTTGGTCTAGTGTTGAAGTCTTGTAGTGTAGTCTAAAGTGCTTGCAGAGGCGTACATGTCCCAGTAGCTGGGAACTAATGTACATGTAGGTTTGGATTTTCTTTTTTGGGGAGGTGGGGGATTGGGGAATTTCCTCAAACTTTTGTGGTTTTTAAGTTTCTGAGAGGTGAGGCAATTTGTGGGGGGGGGCTTTTAACAGGCTTTGGATATGAAGGGAAATAAAACGTCCCTAAATGACCCCCATATCCACCAAAGTTGGTTGGTTTACTGCACTGTGCCCTTATAATTCTCATCCAAATCCCTTGATTGGGATGTTATATAATAGCTTCAATTTCTTCTGTATGTCAATTGTAAAAATTATGTTGAACAGTAAAGGAATGTTAGACTGCAGTTGTACATGTATTAGAATTCAGAAATGAAGTCATGTGATCATACACACGTTCCTGGTCATTACAGACTGACCCTTCAGTATTTGAACCGATGCACGTACAGCGTACATTGTGTAGTTCTAATGTCTAATAAATTAAATGTACTGTATACATATTGCAAGAACTTCAAATTTAAAATTTGCCAGAGTCAAACTTCTACATAATAATTTTTCTTCTGAAAGCATTTATGAGACAGATATCTCAACTTCTTTTTAAAATCCAGACGGTACAATGAGAAAGGAGGATTTTATATTTATGACTCTTAAACCATGGACATCCTGGGACGTAGGGAAAAGCTCAGTAGACTATTAATCTAGTAACCTTTCACTTGGCATTCCTGACGGCCCCTTTTCACTCAAAGACCATTGTTGGGTTTTGTGTGCAATACACATTGCTGTACCAGCTAGTAAATCTGTGTCTTTTTCACTGAGAATATCACATGAACAAGCTCAAAGGCAAACGTATTGGGGATTGACATCTTACTGTAAAACATGCATTTAAAGGTCATTCAGGATTGTATGAGGTTATCTGGAATGGTTGTACACGCGGCGTGTTAGCTTTTTTGATTTGTGTTGGGCTGCGTCCAAATCACTTGGCTGTGGCTTGAGATTACACATGACTTAATTGGAACCGGCCACAGCCACTACCACAGACTCGTGTGTAATTTCTAGCTGCAGCCATATGATTGGGACACGGCCTGTTAAGTTCCCACAGGTTGTCACAGATTACAATGTATGTATTCAAATTTCACTGAGTTAGAGTCAGTTCAATCTCTGAAAGATTATTCTGTTCTGTAGCTACTAGACTTGAGTTACGTGGAAAAAAAATGGCAACAAACTTGTGTCGCAATGGTAACCACACGTGTTTATCGGTTGTTTTAGAGAAGAAAAATGGAATTCGGTGATTTGTTTAATGTATGTCTTGGCCTGCCACCAATTTGCAAACAGTCGCCACTTGAAGGTATTTTTGTCACCAGATGGCCGCCATGAAAATGATACTGTCTGCAAAAGATATACATGTTGGTAACCACCTTTGATCTTTTCTTGTTTTTCAGCAGCTAAAAAGAAGGTTTACAGGTAAAACTTGTGAATGAGAATAGAGATCGTAATTTGGTCATCTGTTGGACTGAAATGACCGTCCTGGTTGTCAACAAATTCAGACTATCAGACTGGTTCCAGTTTTAAAAATATTGTGTTTGGGCAGTAGAGTTTTCAGGGATGACATCTGTGCTTAAGAGTCACCGTTAGTACATGTACATGTATGCTGAATCGCTGTTTCCAATTTGAATATCTTCGTGTCTTAGCTTTTAAGTTTTGGTCACTCTAAAACTGACGAGTAGTTCAATGTCAACTGATGTAAAATGCATCTGTACACCTTGAAATTAAAAACAAAGGAAATAATCAAAACCCTGATCCTGCACTGTCTGGCTATGTTTATTCCCAGTATCAGAAATACATACAAAAATTGCATATTGGTAATTATTTTATGTTCGCGTGATCCAACAAGCAAACTTTTGATCAATGTTTTTGCTGTCCTGGGAGATACACATTTAATGTTCTCCGTGTGAGTTTGGTGTCTAAAAGTAGTTTTCTCATATGGCAAACAATGGCAGGAACATGTCTGAGTTCTTGTACTCTAGACTTGAGGTGCTGTGTGAAGACAAAGCCATCATGAGACCCACAATCCAGGGACTTTCAGACCAAAGTAATCAAATGAACAGTAACAAAAGTATTCCTTTGTGACTTGCGCATGGTCTTGTCATAGTCTTGACTTCAACACTACACGTACATGTATTTGTCATCCTCGGCCTTTCTATTCGTCAGGAGCAAAGGGTATCGGTGATTGGAGAGGGCACACTTGAATTCACGCTGACAAGTTTGAAGCAGATGTTAGTTCCATCTGCTCCCCTTGGCTTGACCCAAAGGCAAAGCACATTAATGTCCTCACCCAACTAGAGTCCATTTTTCCCCTTAAAAAAGTACAAAGTAACGAAGGCAAATATCACGACTGATACAAATAAAACTGATTCTCATCCCTAATCACCAAAGAAAATGTACACACAAATACACACACAGCCGTCCAAACATTCCACATCTCAAACATGTTTCATTAAAACATTCAAAGACATAAAAATGACAAATGTTAATTTGTTATATTCATTGGATCTTTCCACTAATTCCACTGGATCTGTCAAATAACTTATCCTTTGATACGATCACCACTCACTTTACAAATTTACATGTAAGGTGGCGAATTAAATAATTTGCCCGATGTCCCTCAATACAATACCCCCTTGTTTCAAGATTTACCTGTACTAAAAACGAAGAGACGAACTACGTGTAATGCCTCTGAATGTTTCTCTTTGCTGTAAACAAAATTTCAGCCCCCACATTTCCAGCCCTCGCCGCTGCCCATGTGCTGTGATTGGTGCGTTCTTCAAACCGGTTCCCTGCTATTATGTCTTGCGTGTCCTGGGTTTCTTTTTGGGCCTGGTGTCTTGGTCGCCAGCCCCGCCCATGTCGCGTACCTCAGAGCCACCAGGGGAACGAAAGCCCTTCAAGGCCAGGCCCAGTTGTTGGAGTATAGGCAGAATCTGATGTACACATATATAAATGCAAAGCACGGATATTACATATTTAAACAAAATATATTCGTGCAGGGTGTATTTTAACATTGTTAAAATTGATATACAACTGTGCAGGGTGTATTTTAACATTGTTAAAATTGACATACAACTGCGCAGCGTGTATTTTAACATTGTTAAAATTGATATACAACCGTGCAGGGTGTATTTTAACATTGTTAAAATTGATATACAACCGTGCAGGGTGTATTTTAACATTGTTAAAATTGATATACAACCGCGCAGGGTGTATTTTAAACATTGTTAACATTGATATACAACCGTGCGGGGTGTATTTTAACAGTGTTAAAATTGATATACAACCGTGCGGGGTGTATTTTAACATTGTTAAAATTGATATACAACCGTGCAGGGTGTATTTCAAACATTGCTAAAATTGATATACAACCGTGAAAGGTGTATTTTTAACATTGAGTTCCAGCCTGCAGTGCACAAATTAGCAAGTGCATTTTTCCTTTTTTGAACTGGGTGAATGCCATGAATGCAGCAAACTTTTCCATTTTAGTAGACCATGACGGGCAGGTGCATGTATGGGCACTACTGGCATTCAAATGAAGTTGCCTATATGCTAGGATGTCTGGTGCGTCAGTCTGTCGGACATCCAGAGTTTGACTCGAGCGAATGATTACATGGGAGCCCATAAAGCCAGGCAACAATGAAGTGCGGCTACAAAGCATGGATTTAACCGTATGGAGGACGTAAAGAGTGTCCGGTTAATATACAGAGTGCCCATGACTGCCACTGTCTTGTTATTTTGCACCCAGAGAGAGGCTTGCTTACCTTTGCATGGTTCAGCCCAATAGCTATCAACGCTGCTATGAGAGGTAATGCAAGGTGGGATCCACTGGAGACTTCCTGATCAACGGCACGTCTCTGTCAAAAACAAAACAACAAGAAAACAGGATGATATCCGTCACATCATTGCCAATACTGATCAAGCATAGAATCTTCAATTTGTGAGCATCTCTGTTCAAAAATGGAGGGAAGGGGGTAATATGGGGTCATTTTTACCACTGATCAATGCTAAATGGTTGAAAAGAACATGCAGACGTACTTTTTGGGCAGATCACAGTGGAACAAAATGGCCGACTGGACAGGGAAATCAAAGATAATCCAAACCATGCTTAACTACAAAGAACAATTGGTCTCTTTGTGTGGCACCATCCATGCCTCAGTCCTCACCTGAGTTATGTCCAATTATGCATTCAACTGGTTTCTTGGATAAAAATGAGGTCCCTGATTTTTATGGAGTTCACTGATGTTATAGATAGAAGTTAGTTCCCTGATTTTACGACTGGTACATGTTCTTCTGATCCAAGTTTGCGGCTTTTAATTTTGTGTTAGTTTTGCGGAATAATGCTACTTCTAAGGTCTGGGTATTTTATCTAGTGAGAAATAATTTTTGGACAAGAAGAAAGATCCCATGGTGCCCAAAAAACGTTGGCTTAAATTTTAAGTATCACATCGCGGTCAGCACCCCCTCCGAAGTTTTATCACCCTCCTGGATCCTAAAGTCCTTTGCTGGATCCAGTGTACATCCACATGGTCTGAGAGGCAACTCGGTCCATTTCTACACGACCTTTGTCTTTGGTTCTGGTTTTCAGTTTAACAAAAGATACAAAGGAAAGGAGCTCGAATTGGCTGGTCACACTTGACTGACTTCAGGAAGCAGATGTTGGTATACAACAGGGAAACTGAACAAAGACACCAATGCAAGTTGAATTTCACGGGGCTTGCAGCTGGTGCCAGTTACCCTAACAATGGCTTTGAATTGGTGGTAGCTCTAGCATATTGTCATTTCAAGGTCTTGCAAAAAGCACATGTCCAGGAAATTGTAAAGACAGCTTGCACCTGTCTTTCCTCTATCTCTCGTCCCTGAGTGTAAACAATGCAACATCCTGGCAAAATAAGTGACCGTTCAGGCAGCGCAACTTGGCATAAGTGTGAAGTGAAAACGAGGTAATCAGCTGAGCCTAGGAAAAGTTGTATGCCTGGTCATTTATACAGAAAAAAAAACCAGACACAGGTAGGTGTCAACTACCTCTGGATTGAACTGTAAGGTGATATGCTTGAAGTATCCGTCTGTGCTGAAGCTGGCCTCTGGTAGAGTATAGTCCCAACTTGATTTGGATAATGAAGATTCCAGGCGCATGACATACCTCTGTTGAAAAACAATTAAATAAATAAACAAAATGTTCAATTCAACCACGATGCACATAGCATAATAGGTCTCTTGGACAGGCTATCAGTGGGCTCAATATCATATCGATATCAATATCGGCATACTATTTTATGTATAGTTAAATTCTATGTTCACATGAGTCTTTTAACTTCAGTATTTAATGAGATTCTATTTTGAATGTCTACTGTTGAAATTCACCTTGTAATAATGGGTTAGTCATCACTGAATTCAAAATTACTTCATGCTCCCTAGAGAGCCCAGAGAAAACACTATGATATATGTAGATATTAGCTAATTTAGCTTTACATTAATTATTCGTTTGACTGAAATACTCTATATCGATTGTGAATGACTGCAGAAAGAATGCCTGATAAATCTTACCGCTCCATCGTTTGGTAACGAGGGGAATTGAAAGAAACTACTACTGCCTAGAGATAACGTGTGTACCGGGGAGACTAGATTGTCTTCACTGTATAAAAGCACCTACCACACAGAGAGAGACAGAGAAACTGTTAGAAATACATTTCCTTGTGTTTGTGAAGGGGTTCTGAAAACGTGGACAGCTTAAAAGAAGTCATCAAAAGACTGCTTAGATTCGGGGACAGACACAGTTATGCAGACGTCCGCAAGCAATTCCACTTTCTGACTAAAAAGAAACTATTTTTATTAATGCTGCAAGGTTTTAAGAGGTTTCTTGGGGAAGAAATTTTGGTAAAGTTTACATGTGTATCCTACCAAGACATTAAACTAACAAAATTGCCCAACAATTTCCATACTTTGAGAAATTCATGTTAATCGGTTTGTAACATTTCAAACTGAAATGTTTTGTAAGTAGGGGTTGAGGGGAAATTACTTCAGGAGAAAGACACGTTGCTGAAGACTGTGCTGTAACAAACGGTTTTTCCTCAAGAAATCTGCCTTTTTACAGAAGAGTTCTGATCTACTGCTCATTTGTGCATGATTGTGACAAACTGATCAGGCACAAAATTGACTACATGAGCAACACTGGCACACTAAAATAATAAATAAAAATCACAATGCAAAGCAGTACTCACTTTTAGCGTCGCTAAATGTTCACTGGGTGTTATAATGTTTCCGCCGATATCAAACTGATTAAGGCGACGAAAGACGATAATATGAAGATTATCGATATCCTTCCCTTGCACCTGAAAACGGACCAGAATAGTTACATTTTACCTATTCAACTGTGAACAACGCTGTGAAGGTTTACATGTAGGTGGTTGACACATTTCACAAGTTGTTTTTGATGATGTTGGTTGTGACCTATCCGGTTATCATTTCAATGTATTCAGTGTTTGATAATTAAGCATGACGATGTCCATGCGGCCTCTCGCTCAATTTGAAAGCACGGTGAGGCTAAATCTGAAAAGATTCCAACTATTGAAGGCAATAAAAAAAGGTAACAACCTTTATAATCTGCGTCTTAGGTGCAGCTCTCTCAATGTGGCTGTTGACGTCGCCAGACTTCAATTGCAACTCGTAGGAACACTCCGGCTGAGGCAATAACAATCAAACAATCATTGTTACTCTTCAGAATAACTCAGAACCAAGTGCAGGAACACTGCAAGCATGTATCAGATCGGCATCCCGTGCATGCACCCATTTACCTGAAGTCCCCGTATTCTGAACTTTCCCTCCTGGTCTGAGATGCCTTCCTCTACTACCTGTCCGCAATCTCCAACGCCCTGAGCCTCCAAAGCAATGTCTGGCTCTGGTTCACCGTTCAGAGATGCTATCATGCCGTAGCAACTACCACAATAAGAACATCAATAAAGTGAGCAACAAATCCTGTCAAATTTGGCTAAAACTTCACAGATGCACTATCTCTCCTTTACTTTGATTAGCAAATCAATTCAAGTTGCACCATGTTGCGCATGGGATATTTTCAGCTCACCAAAAAGTGACATACCTTGCACAGACTTTATGCAAACAACGGTTCAGTTCACCTCCCTCAACTTTCCCTGATCAGTTATGATCATATTTCTGCTGTTTTTGATTGCCAGACGGGGCCAATTTCATAGAGCTGCTGAGCAGAGAATTTGTCTTTTATCACAAAAAAACCTTGCATAAAACACAGAGGTTACCAGCTCAAACTCTATGTGATTGTCATGCTAACCAAAAGACAGGTAAAGAATAATTTCCAGAATAATATACAAGAACGTTTGGCTGGTAACCTGATTTGCCAAGCAAAGTTTCTTCACGCTTACACAAATGTTTCACTTAATAAGCAGCATTATGAAATTGGCCCCTGTCTAGCTACCACTGTACCAGCGTCTAGGTAAATTTTTTATTTTGTTTGTAAGTTTTGCCATGTTTTTCTGTTTTGTACCTTCTGTTTTATGTTCTGATACACTTGTGTTTCAATTTTTTTTGCGGTTGAAGACTAATAATTCTACAAGATACTTCACTTAGTGATGCGACCGATAAATTTGAGGGCTGTTAGGATCAACAGGGAGTTGGCAGGGCTCTTTCGTGCCTGACAGGATCCATTTGGAATTGACTCTTCTTGATGGGCTTGTGAAATATCATCTGACTTGGGCAACATTTCATCAACTGGATGTTGGCAGATTCTCAAAATACTTTGGTGAGGAGACAAGCACCAAGTTGTGTAACACCTTGTAGAGAAGAAAGTCCCAAAACATGCAAAATGGCCATGGCTTACCTGAAGGCCACCCTGGAACCCTTGATTTTAAGCCTGAAGGTTGAGCCCTCCTCAACATTAATCATCTATGATATGGATAAAAAAACTCTCATAACACGGTGGTGGATATCAACATTATTTTTAAAATATAATTACGACACAAATAGTGTTTGATCATAATTTGTTTTTGTAATCCAAAGGGAGCAAAAATTACCTGTGACCCTGGTTCAAACTTGTACTCCTTCATCAGGGCGCGCAAAAAGTACTGGTCTGGTCCCAGACCCGTGAAGACCAGGCTACCACTGGCCTGCGTTAAATTATTGCTGCGGAAAGTCCCGCCGCTGAGTGAGAGTAGCACCCCCTGGAGGGGGAGACCTCCCTCATCTACAACCTGAACAGAAAGAGATAAATACCCATCAGGTGAGAATACTCATTAGGTTGTGGCTCATCAGCAGGTGTCACTCTCAACAGTCGGCAGTGCAAGAAAATATTACCTGTGCATTGTTACTCACGGATCGGATCGCATCGCATAAAACGACTCTTGAAATAGCACTGTATTAATCATACCCCTGGCTGCCCCACGAACGACTGAGAGGCAGATCAAGGAACCTAGCAAGGGTATATCCTGGCTTGATGGAGGGAAGGCACTCACTCACAGGATGCACACCTGCTGTTCGTCAGCTCACAATCACACTCACAGTTACAGGAGTAACACAGCCAAATACAACTAATATCCTCAAACATATATACGGCTAACATGTTAGACAGCATGATGCTACTGAGCAGACGATGCTGCTTGCATTCAGCTAACGTTCTCAACTGGAGAAATGACATCCAGGAAACTGAATCCTGGAGAGGTGTTGCTTTGCCTACATTCAGATCAAAACAAAAGAGCATAGTATTTATGCACAAAAAGTGAAAGAATAGGTTGTTATTGTTGAAAGCTAATGACTTAGACATTACCTCAATGGTAATTTCACCAAGTTTGGATGCCTTGAAATCACCAACCGTCCCCTCGACTTTGGTTAGTACGTATCCCTCCAGTGCTGCTTGGACATTATACTCTGCCGTGTCTGGTAACGGACCAATCCTGTTGATTTCAAACAGCAGTGACAATAAAAAGGGATTCTTGCGTTCTTCATGCATGCTACAGTTGTGGGCTTGTATTAAAGAAAACTTCAAACCCTAAGAACGCTGCTTTTTCAATTTTCAAAACAGATTCTGAAACTGAGGGTAAGTTAGGTCAATCAGTGCTCAACGACACAGTACAAACTTTATTTACTAGAAAAATAGTTCCAAGAGTGCTTTTCTGAAAATGAGAACAGGTCTGCATCTTCAAACAGGTTCAGAACGTCGAAAAGGCCATTTTCTTCGACCAAACCTTCCTTTACCAAGTAACCTTTCAAGTTTTCAGCCATGTACCACAACCTGGATCACTAACTTCTGTTTAGTCAAAGCCACCCTGTCCACTGAGAAAAATGCCACGGAATAGCATGCCAAGTTGGAGGCCCTTTGCCAAAATTCCAGTCAATTTGAATCACATGGCTACCTGTAGCGTCCGTCCTTGCCCGTCTCCACATTGATGGCTGGCCGCACCTCCTTGTCTTCCAGTGACCTTGAGGTCACCGATATCTTGACCCCTGCCAGACCTGGCTGGACTTGACCGGAAAGGAAGACACCAGCACGCCCTTCAAAATCCACCACCTTTCCTAGGCAGTCGTCACCTGTGGGAATGTACCATTGGATGAAATAATCAGCCTTTTCTTTTTTTGCCAGATTAATCATTCCACTTTCATATTATGTACGAAAGAGTATCAGAAATTTTAGGTTTTTTCTTGATTGACTGATAGTTCTATTTTTGAGTGGAACTACTCATTAATAGATCATCTGATTTTTTCTTTTTTGTGGCTATTTCAGAATGGACTGGTTGGTTCTTTTTTCGGAAAAATTTCAGAAAGACGTAATTGTTGCAAAAAGATTTTCATCATGTATGCCTTTCAACTACATGCCAATCTCTGTGTTCATGCATATTTTCATGATATTTTGAGCATGGAATACTGGGATTTTTTACATGAAACTTCAAAGATTTTCTCATCGGAAGACGTTAGCAGCCAAACTAATGAAGCATCAATTTTGGCTTTGATGGGATGTAACCTGCCAATACTAACCACTATTTAAACTCTTGGCAACAATCATTTCCCATAGACTTGCATAATATTTCTGGCAGTGGCTAAATAATTCAGACATGTGTCAGTGGCTTTCACAGCGCTCTCAACCATTCAGACACAAAGCCAATAGGTTTCTTAACCATTGACTCACCAGTCTGTATAGTAACTTGTGCCTTGGCTGGGTAGAACAGGATGACTTGGGATGAAGGAGTTATAATTAGCTTCTCTCCATTTCTTGAAAAAAATAAAACCAAACAAGCATACAAGCAGAGAATGATTATCACATGTAACTACGCACTGCAACCAGCACTGCAGTACAAATTACTAAATGTATCATAAAGGTTTGGTCTAAACCAGATATCTTGTGGCTACGACTTCAGTTTTCTCATTGGCATGCTACTGTACATGCAGAGATAGCCAAAGCCAAGACTGCTCGTCTCTAATTTGGGGCTAATGTAAAAGGAGAGTCTTTTCTTGGTCTGAAACCTCACCTCGCCCAGTAGGTAAATTCATACACATATGGTCCGGTGTCCTCTGCCACCTTAGTCTCTTCATCAGTCGCTGTTGCATTTCCCTTCTTTGCTGGCTTGACTGTCTTCTTAGCCTCCTCCTCCAGTTCCTTCTGAGACTTCAGCGGGCCCAACTGGACCAATGGTTCCGCTTCAATCGAGGACCTTTGACAAAATGGAGCAATTTGAACAAATGTGAAATTAGCACAAGGGCTTAAGTGTCTAAGCAGCCATTTCATGGACAGAGAACAAAATTAATGATACTGTATAGGATAAGTGTAAAAACACATCATCTGATGTACCAACAGCAAAGAAATGATTAAATTCAGTTACATTTTAATGGTGACTCATGCTGAATAAACAGAATGGTACTTCCCAGTTTATCCAAAAAAGTTATCTCTGTACCTGATGGAGACCGTGACATCGGAGGATGGTTGCTTAGCAACAATGGCACCTGTCATCAAGTGCTTGGTGGCAGTCAAGGCCAGCATGGCTGGAGAAGAACTACAACAAACAAACACTGCCAAATGTTTTAAAAATTGAGAGCAAGACCATGATGGAAACATGCTATTTTTTTTTTTTTTGCAATCAGCATCCTACACCAAACAGCCAAAGTAATAGAGGCTTTGCGGGGGAGCCATCTTACAGGGCAGTTTATTGCTCCATAAGGAATGCACAAAGGTTTCCCTGTTGAACAAAAGAACTGCCTTGTGAGATAGCCATCACGCAAAGCCTTGAAAGAGTGTACCATCGATTTCAGACAGCAGGCAGTCTGACTACCACAAATTTTACTTGAAGGGAAGTGGCTCTTTCCCCACTGCTAGAGAACTAAAAATATTTAAAGCTCGCAATATTGAATCATATCATATGCAATATTTTCATCCATGGTTCTACCCTTATGGTAATAAGAGTATATAACTGTCAACATATAGAAAAGGATCAAAATGTCATATGATGCTTAGGCAACAATGGGAGTAAAGAAGGCACCAACAGACAAAAAAGGATAGAAAATAAACTCTTGACGCATATAACTCAGAGATTAATTTGTACGTTTTTCTGGTTTTTATACCACGGGATGATCCTGTTACGTGATCAACGTAGTGCTTGCTCCTTTGGTTTCTACTCTGACATATGCCAGCTATACGCTTTCCTACAACGTAGGCCAAGTCAAACATAATACATAACTTCCACTAAGAGAGCTGCAGTAGGGACTAGTTTTGGACTTTGTGTAACCTGGGCTTTACATTGTTTATGGATGGATGGATACAGTTGGCTGGCTAGTATAAACCTGTTGGATTGTCTTGGTTTACTAAATTCACTTCTGACAATGCTGCTTACGTGTCAAAGCTGTAGGTTTCATGCTCGAAGCGGTGGCAAGACAGCGGTGTTAACCGGTAAGATCCAGATTTCTCCAGACAGAACTCGTTCAGGCCCTTGTTGAGATCAATCTGCTTGGACTGCTTCGGTGACTTGGTGTTGTGGTACAACTGGTTAGGCAAAAAAGGATAGTAAATGTGACCCAACCTGACCAAACGAGCTGTAAGTTGACAGAGCCACTTCTGAGTTAAAGACCTTCCCAAGAATCTCGCATTATCTTAACCTCAGTGTAATGTCCCTTTTTTATCAGGATGCCAAGTGGACTGACAGATCAAAATGAATACTCAGTTTGCACTTAATACCAACTAAAACTGGAGATCTGGCTTCACCACATGCTGCCAGGTGCCTTTAAATATGCAGTGCACACATATGGGCCATTTTCAAGATTTTCAGTTTTCAAAATTCTTCAAAAATTCATCATTTCATTTAATGGACGTTTACACCCACACGAATGACTGCTTGGTGGCTACTCTAAGGTGACAGGTACCGTCATTGATTCCTGAATATTTCAGCCAGGCATGCCGCCCTGTAAAGAGAGCCCAAGATTTGTGAGGTGTTGTGTAATTTCTCCCCCGTGAATGCGAGTGGCGTCTTTTCAAATGCGGCTGGATTAGCATGCAGTGGTGCGGTGTTGCTCATCAATAGGGCTCTGAAGCACTTTCGTCAGCGGTGCTCATCTGCAGGCGCGCTATGCCCAAAACAGTGGTATACTGTTTAAAAAGAGTGATGGATTACTTTCGAAAAATGCAAGCCAAAAAATGACGGCAATTCCCAGCAGCAGGTCTTTTGTTCCGAGTACTGTCGTTTTTTTAATACACTGACCAGCTCTTTTGTCCCATTTTGGGCACCCAGGCTCTGCCTATAGACCCATGGTGCTCGAAACAGGTTTCCCCGGCAACAAGTGTTTCAGATTTGTTTTGTTGGATCTGGTCACAAATCCCCGACCTTGGAAAGCATTTTTACTTACACCTGAATCAGGGAGAGCTAAATTCTGTCCATTCCCCCATAAGAGTGGAGAGAAATCTTTTGAGGTCAAGAGCAATTCACCAGGCTGTTTTTGAGACATCTATGAGACATGGCTACAGTTGATAGCCACTGGCTTTGGGGGCGCACACCATATTGTTCCTTTAAACTGGTTGTATGCGCATTGCTCTAAATATCTGCATGTACAGTTGCTGACATGTGTAACGTCCTTCCGTGCTCTGGGGGCAAAGGCTGCACAGTGCATGGGTGGTTACAACGCAGGTTACCAGCCAAAGTGGTATGCACAATCTATTCCTCAAAACTGGTGTTTCGCTGATTCTCTGCCAAGCAAACAAAATCTCCTGAACAATATTTTCAGCTTAGTTCTTCAATGGAATTGGCCCCAATGTTTTGAACCGAGTCAGCAATAACTTCAGTGAGGTGGTTATGTTCTCTCTCACCATGGCGATAGGGTGTGACACGTGACACTGTAACTGGTACCCCGTCTGGACAAATTCCAGCGAGGTCACATCCCCATCTGTCACTTGGATGTCCAGGGAGGGTGTCTGCCAACACCAGTGGTTCTGGATCACAGTAACTGCAGCCACAACAGTAAACAAGATTTTATTTTCTTATCTCTTAAACACTGAATCGAATTTTGAATTCATTTCTGTTAAATTTTTAACTTTTTTGAGTTCCATGAGCAACAGAAGCTTATTGGCTAGTTTAAAATTATCTTGGATATGATTTTCCAGTCCACAATTCTGTCTCAAGACTCTGTTTTCACTAAAGTTCCTAATAAAAGGCCATGGTGTTAATCTGAATGAGAATATCGCTACCTTTGTATTTTCCAGGCAGGACATCCCTGAGAAGGAAGGGAGCAGTCTTGCTTGACTGGGAGATCTGGGCAGGGGATCGTTCCTCAACCCCACCCTCAGAATGAAGAGTAATCTGTAACGTCCCACAAACATCTGCAAAGGAAGCGTTTACCGCGTTACAAACCCAAATAATGCAGCGCCGTTCTGACTCCTAATCAGACCTTTAATTGTTAGGCTAACCAGACAAGGCTGTGGATAGCTTGGTCAGAATAGACGCAGTGTTCTGAAGTCACAGATTTTAAGTTCAATCTAGTCCATTGCTTTGTTCATCTGTATTTCGACTTTGGTACTGAAGGCAACATCAGACTCAAAATAAGCATCTTTATACTCATAAGTCTCAACAAACCAGGGCTGCTTATTTCGTCAATGACATAATGTGGGTTTCAGGTCAGTGAGGTCATGCCCCACTTCAGTAAAAGAGTGACGTTTTCCCTTGAAAATATTCAATGGAAATTCAAAGGAGATTTCAATTTCAGCTCAGTTGATTGACTGATGAATAAGCTGAAGTTATGGTCAAATTTCAAACATCCTCATATACTTGTCCATGCAAAAATGGACATGCACGGGCAAACTGTGCTTAATTGAGTCCAGAATGTCAAAGACTATTTACCATATTTCTTGATAATGTACTCCAAAGGGGGTATTTAACACTCTTGCATACGTGACCCTCATGTTTTAATTGTCAGCTCTCACGATGATGTTAATACTCAAGCAATACCTTGTACACAATACCGTGTCACCATCGAGACCGTAGCTACACTTTCCTCAGGTCAACAGACCTTGTTCTCAGGGCAGTTCTTTTTGACTGTGTTCCTGAATTTTATTCAGTGTAATCCGTCAGATGGGTGGTGCCAGTCTGTTTTTGGTTCCATGCCTCACTTTCAAGTTTTTAAAATGTTGCTCAGAACGTTTACTTATCCATGTATAATAAATAACAAATTTAAATGACACTTCATCACATTGACATTAATTTGTCCTGAACTTTCATTTGGTTGCTTTCTTTTATACTCTAAGGTACCCAAAATAAAAAAAACTTAGCATCGCTTTCAATTCAAGATGGCCGACTTGTGAATACTGTCAATTCTGAAAGTGTTAAGTTTGAATTAAAATGCAGCTTTTATGTCCGCAATTTCCACTCACCAATGCACTTGATGACACCACGGATAACAGCTTTGAACTGGGAGAAGTTGATGCCAAGAACAGGTGCATTTTGCACTTGAACTTTCTGCTGTGAGGGGATAAGCTTTAAGCCAGCTGCCACTTCCTCAGTGTTGAGTGTTGGCTGAAAGTAAGGAATGACAGCTTCAAAAGCAGTGTCTATGTTTGGAATAATTGCTAGAAAATAGAATGTTTTTGACAAGATATCCTCGATGGAAGGATCTAAACACCCCAAGATTTGATAAAGACCATAAAAGGCTGGTCTATTTTAAGGCCTATTTGAAAGCAAAGCAAATTCGACATCACAAAATATCTGCAACAAAATTTTGCCTCGTTGAAATGTATTCAACTTTTACGAATTCGCAGCACAAATTTATTTGATTTCACGTCATGCCAAGTATGAACCAGCCTTTACTTTGTGTGTCTGGGCTGAATTCTTTGCCAAAATGTGGGAGTCTGCAATTCAAGTCAAGAACTCTGCCTTTTATCCCCTTAAGCCACGATACACATGTACATGTATGCTTCACTTATTTTATGTTTTTATAGCCAATCTGCTCATATCCTTGGAATTTTTCAAAAGGACACTGGGCAACGTACCTGCACACTAAAACTTCCTGGTTTCACCGTGAAGCAGAAGGCACCAGCATTGTCAGTTGCCACAGAAACAGTATCTTTGGCCGCGCCTCCCTCTGGTATGAGACTGACCCTTCTCTTACCACTAGAGGGCAGCATGGCTGGCAACTTATCGATGACAATGCGTCCACAGAGGCTGAATCTGCAAGAGTAAAATGGATTAAATTAAAAAATTACTACTACTTTTATACTGTAACGTTTGCAAACACCAGCATTTAAGACTCCCCAATCCTTTAAGATCAAACTGGTATATTTGGAAGGATTTTCCAGGTTTAAAGAAGGTAGGACGTAGCAATGATTACTTTTAAAGCTCTAAAGTTGAAAGTATCACTTGGTTGCTGCACAGTCGTTTTCCAATCAGGAAAATTCCTGGCAAAAAGGGTTAAGGTCGTGTTTCTGAGTCCATCACAAATCCTTTCACAAGTCCACTCTTAAATAACAGCGTAAACAATGACAAAGAAACAGCTTGTGACTTAGCTTGGGACTGGATTGACTTGTGATAGATTTGGAGGAACTTGCAGAGACTTGTGAATGACTGGACTTCGACAAGAGATTTAATGACCGTACCTTGAAGCTATGATATCAGGAAGTCTGGGGGTGTTGGGATTGATTTTCATTGTTTCCGGTTCAAAGAAGATGTTGTCCTTGCTGGCGGTCACCACATACGTCCCCGACGTTATTTTGATGAGTTGGTACGTTCCGTCTGCCTTGCTGATGACTTCTGACCTGTCTTGAACCTTGACCTTCACTCCCGGTATCCCATTTCCCTTGTAAAAAAAAAAAAAATTGCACAGATAATATGCATGTGAGCTTAGTGGCGTACTTTTGACGGCTTCCAATTCTGGTCATAGGATTGGTCCGTACCCTGCAGCATGCACATCACAAGTCAAAAAATAAAGTAATGTACAGATGTTAATGGTCGTGATTAAAACAAAAAACCAAGCGGGGCAATATATGGTCCTGTCCACTCCCATAACAAGGGGACTTTGAGACGCTTGGTGGTGGCAGAAAAACCGGTCCCTTTTGTCAGTTCTGGGAATATGCGCACAATCCTGGGCAAGCGCTTGTAGTTCTGAGCACGATCACAACTGTGGAAAAGGGCTGGTGTGTCTGCTGCCACCGAGGGTCTCAAAATCTACCATTACTCTAAACTTACCCGTTTGGAGTCCAGGATTCGTCCTGAGACGGAAAAACCTTCCACTCTGAATGTCGTCTGTCCAAATAAACCATCACAAAATAGTTATCTCCTGACTTCTTATTCATCAAACTTAAAGCATATTTGACATGGGAGTACCAGTGACTTTCAGAAGGGTTCTCAGACTTGGTCATAAGTTGCATAGCTTGAGTACTTTCAGCTCCCCTGAATTTCCTAAAATCTCTTACATTTCTTCCGCGGTTGATAACAAAATTGGCAAAATTCGTGTATACATCAAATTGGAGAAAATCTGCAGTATGCATAAAAGATTGATACTAACTTAACGCCAGTTTCATATTGTTCATCAATGTTGTTAAAACAAGAATTGAATGCCAATAAAAGTTTCTATAAGCAACTTTACTGAAAATGATTAAAAAGTTAAAATACTCAATACATGTATACATGTACATCGGAAAATATTACAGCTGCTGAATTAAAATATTCTCAAAAATTCATACTGCTTGTTTAAATTTACTTGCACCATTTTTTAAGTAACACTGGAACAGATTTTGAAAGCTCCTTGTATTTCTAGATGAGTTGCACTGTTTTCTGTTCGGGAAAACAACTGGTCTTTACCGGTAAGGTGACACTGTCATGTGCTACACTGAAATCCATGGATGTTGGCATGACGTCAAAGGTAATGTGCTCACCCTGGTAGAATGGAACCTTTGACAAAGACAAATGCAAGTTTTAGAAGTTTCGAAACTGAAATACCACATTAAGGAGAAACCGTTTGTGCGGCAACGTGCTACAACTCAGAAGACTGGTTTAAACTGGGCACAAAAAAGAATCAATGCAATTTTGTGAGGGTGAATCACATGTTTGCACTGGAAACTTGCCAAGGGTTGAGTCCATTTCAACTCAAGCGAGTTTTGTAAACATTTGTGATGTCAATTTCACTTTGCTTTCGTATTCGCCAGAAGTGTGGACCAGCCTTTAACAAGAGAGGTTGTCACACTGATGAACACGATGAAGAAGCAGGCTGCAGATGGGCTATCGAAGTCCAAGAGGTCATGATTGAACAGACTGAATGAGATAGGACGTACGTACCATTGTATATTGACCACTTGGTAGACTGGGGAATGTGATTTTCCCTTCGTCAGTTGATGTCACACTGCACAACGGTGTCTTGGCCTGGGTGCCAGTGAAGCCCTTAACTGGAGTAGTGTCGCACTGGGAAATTTCCTTGAATGGGAAAAAAAAAGTAACTCCAAATGAAAAGACAAATGTTGACTTTTTGGCAACTAAAACACAGTAACATTCAGAGAATCCTTTCAAATCCTCTCAAAGCTGTGAATGTGCAGGAAACTGTACGTTGCTCTTCATGTTAATATTCCAAATGCCCAAATGCACGACATCATTTTTGTCGAGCGGTCACCAGATGCAATGCATTTGATTAAAGTGTATTTCAGCATTTTTGTTGGGAAAATGGGGGAGTGACAAGCGAATACCTTTTTTAATCCTCAAAACCCTCCACTTTGTTTTTGAAGGATCTAAAAGAACTAGAATTAAGAGAACAGATGCGATTCAAGGAGCAAACACATCTCAAAAATGACTGAGCTGTTTAAAGTTCCCATTGAGAATCACGAAGCAAGACTAATGAAAGCTGTAACACCTTGAGTATTTTCCAGATTCTGGAATCATTCAAACTAAATCTGTCCCCACTCACTTCCTTGGAAACAGTATCCGAAAACAGCAGGAAATGGACATCCTTGATTGGTTCTCCCTCACTCATCACATGACCTGTGACGTCATAGCCTGAGATGGTAATGGTTGGAGCTGGAGAACTGCTGTCCTTGGCAACAGTGATTGGCAAAGTGTCCTGGAGAAAGAGACAAAGTCCACGCACTGGATTGGCCATCTTAGTGTATTTTAACATCATCAGTGTGCAGTAGTGTTGTAACTTAACTTTGGCCAATCACAACTGCCCTCATATCAAGTCTCATGTCAAGACACAACCTATCCAACTGAAGTGTGACCCACATATTCATTATCACTGTTCATACTGCTAACTGCGGTCAGGCCGTATGACTTTTGAAACTTTTGTGACAGGCTCAACACTGCCAGAAGGCTGACCGTCAAGTTGACAGTGGGCTATAATAAAAAGGGCAAGCACTTGGTGGTGCAAGGTAATGTGGAGTTCCTTGATTTTCAGAGCACTTGAATTTTCTAGGAAATGGACAACGGACCTTAACAAATGTCCATTTTGGATGACTGGCTCCTAATGTGTATTCTCCTGGTAGAACTTGCTTGAAGATGTACCTGTTGAAACATGAAGGAAAACATTCTTGATCAATACATTCATTTCTCAATCCCTAAATCTCTCGATTTATTTTGGCATTGAACAGAAATCCTTAAAAAAACTCCATCACACATTTTGTGCAAATGTCGTACTGATCATGCCGTTAAAGATCATTGGGCCATCCCACAAGTCCCACACTAAACAATGAAAAAGTGGTCCTGTTGACCTGAATTCTTCATGGTGTTCCAAAACTCAGGGGATGGGTTTCAGATAACTGACGTGATTAGGATTGATGAAAAAAGCTGCATTAAGGAGCCTTTGTTAAATAGCTCCTTGCGCCACCTAAAGGGCTTTTGGCTTATCCTAGCCAGACTATGCCTAGTTGCTTTTGGTTAATACCTCACGGCAATAATTAGTCAACTCTCGTTACAACATAATTGCAGGGATCAGACAAATTACTCTGCTATAGCCAGGACTTTGTTATGAAAGAAACACATGAGAAGGCATGCAACTTTGCAAACAAAAAAACAAGGAAATCTGAATATTTATAAGACTTTGAACCATTTTTTTTTCAATTTCTATTGGTGATTGAAAAACGAAGAAATCAGCTGATCCGAGGAAAAGTTGCATGCTTACAGGAAAGTTCAGGAAATTAGGATTTTGCAAAATGTGCTTTTTATAACAGCGCTCTTCAGATCAAGAGTTGACTGTATTCATTTGCAGTATCTCCACCTAAATGGTTCCTGTACACAAAGCCTGGTAAGAACATACCCTCCACCTGTCTTGGTCGCGGACTGGACTAAGGGTTCCTTCTCTCCTTGCTTGGTCAAAGACACTGACACACCAGCCGGGCCTTCTGATTGGCCCTTGCTCAGCACCTGTATGTAAATGACATTTATCTTGTCACTTGTTCTGACTGCTTCATTGGGCAAAACTCTAACCAAGACTGTTCATGAGTATTACAGTGGGGATCCAGATAGTGTATTAGTCAAAGTTTGAAAATTGATTAGAAATTCAAATTTGCAGTAAATTGAGAAACAGGTTAATACCCAAGTTGCAGCAATTTTATGTTTTTTACATGAATATGCATAACATGTAAATAGGGTGCCCAAAATAACCCTCAGGGTCCCTAAAACACACACACACACACACCTCTTGTGAGGAGACACTGGGCCTTATCAACAAGTCAGTTGGCTCACCTGTCCATTAAGCACGAAGCCGGTGAACTGGAAGTTGATGTCTTCGCTTCGGCTACACTTGTCCGTCTCACCATCAATGTGTAGATCAACGCTGGTTGGCTCTGTCCAACGATAAAATCAGGGCTCAACTTTATCAGCTCAATTCATCATTTGGTGAAAAGGTAACTTTCTTCCATTTTGAAGAAAAAACTCCATGACTGCAGACAACAAAGCACTCCTATTTACTCAGGCCTTTCTTACTTTTTTATCCTTACCCAGTTTGATCAGACAGTATTGAGAAATCGTTGAAAACTTTTCAACTCAAATTCACAACTTAATGTACATTCCCTCACCCTGTCTTATCCCTAACTCTGCCAGATGCAGCACAGTGCATCTGGTGAAAAAATCTGATGCACTTTGAACAAACTGGAAATGCTGAGACAATGGGAGCTGGTCCAATTGAACAATGCCACTGTTGGATCCTGTGGTGACTGGCAACCACAGACTCCCAGGCTGTTTGGCCTTGGGGAGAGTTGACCCGTTGGATCTTGTTTACACTGGGCAGGCAAGCCACTTGGACAAATGATGCAGATGGATGTGTCAGGCAGGGTTTCTAGCCAAGTACCCTTGGAGAATTAGGTGGTTAATCTTTTTTTGTCTTCAAGCCAGCCTACGTCCCTCCTCCTACCCTAAACCACTTTTCTTACCAAAGCTCCACCCCTGGGGTGGTTCTACCTTCAGAGTGAAGTCCCCTTTGTCATAGATTGGGATCATGAAGTAGCCATTGTTAGGGGCGCAGTCCGTCTGGTACTTCAGAGCACCAGTTCTTGTGTAAAGCTTAACCTGTTCAAAATAACAAAGGATGTAAGTATTGAAAAAAAAAGTTAGTCTTGTTGTCAGCTCGATGTAGCCTTCTTGTTCAAATCATGTTCCAATAGTGATCTGAAGTGTATCCTATTGTCCTGGAGACGTCACGGCGCGCCGATGACTGATTCCTGACCTGTGTCCGGTAGCTGTGATCACATCGGAACTGTACACCAGACATACAGCCCTCAGGAATCAGTTGTCGGCGTGCGTGTGCCGACACGGCAGGCTTTCAGTGAATGGTCCTCTAGGCTGGCGCGCAGAGTGACGTCGTCTCCAGCACATTAACATACAGTTCAAATCAGTTTTTCAACAAGATGGCAACTTCGAGCTCAACGATGACAGCGTTTCCAATTTCAAGGGGAAATTTCTCATATCTTCCCAAACGTGAGTAAACCTTACCATCTTTATACGTGGAATCTCCGATTCTCAATTGGTCCATAGCCGGGCCCATCAGACAGTTTAAGGATCATTGTGGGGATGAATTCGAAGAATTTTAATTCGGGGTAGAAGTTATTTTGAGGGAAATAAATAAATGGAAGCAAAAGCCCAAGGAAGGTAGCCAAGGTTGGACGTTGTCTTCATCAACCACTTCCTGCCGCGGGCTCCGGAATCGGAGATGTATGGTTTATATGCGTGGCCGGGTCTCCGAACTCGGACAAAGGAAACAGGGCCCTGTAACAAAAGACCAGACTGCTGGGCATTACTGACATTTTTCGCTCCCAAAAGTGGTGATAATCCAGCCTTGTTTTGAAACCGTATACCAGGGTTTGGGGCATTGAGAGCAGGCGGATTACCACCGGGGACAAAAGCACTCCACTACCGCAGCGATGAGCCACATAGCACCGCTGCGCGCTAATCTGGCCCCTATTGAAAAGAGGTCAGCAGTGCACTGTGCCAGGTTCATGAGCAAAAGACAGTTATACAACACCGCACAATCT